ATCTCGGGAGTCATCTAGTTATAAGTAGGCTTTGAGACACGTTTCTTTATTTTTCTTTCTTTCATTTCGAAATAAATCCTTTTTTAACAAACTATTATGTACCTAAAGGAGCGTGATATTATAACAAATATCGTGACAAAATTGCGTAAATTTGTTGTAAGAATAAATGACTTCATACGTATTAACTTTTTGAAATAAAAATCTCAAAACCGAAGCTAATTGTGTCAGACTATGAAAGCGGAACTTATTAATATGGATAGTTTGCGAAATTCCCAAAATTCCCTGATTTGAAGACGTCTTAGCAGAATAAATGGCAAGTGACGGCAGAAGACAAACACCGTACATGCTTACAAGTTAAATACTGCGTTCTCGTAAGATTCCGGTGGCCACGGAACTTGCGATTACATAGCAAGGCTCATTTATTTAATGGTCAGCAATTTTTATAAACCGTCATTGGGATTCCAATAGGAAACAATATAAAATTACCATGAAAAATATTAATTTAAGTGCATGTCTCGCTAGGTATTTTGTCATGTGTCAATAAAAACTTCCCGACTTAATTTATTATGAATTAAATAGTTTAGGTAAAACAATTTCCATTTTAATATTTTTCATAGGAAAAAAAAACTTACCATGCAAGTATGCTTATTTTTTTGTGATATTCCTTCTAAAACTTGCTTTTGAATTTAAAAGAAATTTCGTTTTTAAACTTTGCACCATACATTCACATATACAAATTTAATTAACTGTAAAGTATTAACAAGGTGGCACTTTTTGTAATGTAAACAGTACTAAACGTTATGCTCGTTGGTTCGAGTCTCCGTAATCTTTTTGTAATGTTTTAATCTATACCTCGACAATGAAACTGTTATAATTTCTGTAGTTTATATAGCTGGTAAGAGCTGTAAAATATATACCCAAGTTGTATTTTTCGTGGCCTAGCTGTAATTACATTGCAAGCCATACGCTCGTGAAAATCCTACTGTTTTGACTTGCACTTCTGAATTCAGTTTGCGCGATTTGATTCATACAATATTAATGGGCTTAAGTGCATTAGAAATTATGAAAAATACATTTTTTAGACGAAGGTTGGTGTTGTAAGTGTAGCTGAGAGAAACAACAAGTTTTTTATATGCTTACCCCTATGGTTGTCCTCCTCTATCTCTCCATAATATATGAAAAACCTCAGCCATATAACATCTCAACAAGATGCGCTATCGACCTATTTAGACTTTGGAATTCGGAAATTTACAGAAACCGAAACGCGATTAAACTTGATAGGTTTGTTTTTGTGTTTTTGGTTCAATTACAAATATTTATAATATTTGGAAAAAGAACAAATAACGGACTCAGCTGATATTTAGCCTGGCTCGTGCCCCAGAAACGCGAATACATTCTGAATATACAACTGTACGTAAAAACAGTCAAGGAAATCAGTTGCGGTTTTCGTTTTCAATTGCGTATTTATACTCTCCCAATAGACTGCATTGAATGTTACCAGTTCGAAATATCCGGTGTCTGATTAATATCCGAACAATATAGATAATTATGTAAATTCTATTCATAACTGGCAAGTTTTCGTTGACAACTCCGTTAATCCGAAGCTAAATTAAGTTAGTGCTGCCAAGTTTGGCCATTCACTCGACGCTTGGCCTAACTTTGGCTGTTTAATGCGGCCTTAACTTGGATACCAGAACTTCAGGTAGTTTGATTGGCTCTTGTAAAGGACGTTTTCTACGGAAACTATTAGTTAACAAATAGTTCGTACTTAGTTTTTGTACTGAAATAAAGTTCCGCTGAAATTCATATCGGATTGTCTATCTAAGTATCCAACTACAGATATTTGGGGTATGGAGGAACCCGCTCTAACAAGGAAAAATATGTATTGCACTTAAAGTATAATACGTGAAGACTGTAAAATGCAACTTGGCGATAAAAGGAGTGGCGGCGAGTTTCTTGCCAATTCTTCTCGTCCGTTTTACGGCCTTATTTTGAGAGCTAGTAGTAAATGTAAATAAAGTCGTTAGGTATTAACAGGTGTGACGTTCATAAGTTTACTTAGTTACTTACGTGTATAAATGATTTTTGATGTCCGAAAACCAGAAATCATCAAAAATTGTTTTATAAAGTAGACCTTTCATGAAGGTTATAGTATTCTGTCTACTATCTTTCAGAAACCTTTTTACGCGCAAATTTAGGTTTTGCTTTTTCAAGTCCAAATTATTCTATGGACAAGACAGTCATATCAAATAGAAATAAAACTGCTTTTAATTCGGAAAATATTTATTTACAGTACTATTTTAAGACTTAGTTTGTGCCTCATACCTATATGTACAAATAATAACTATATTTACATATACTGTTTTCCGATTGACTAAATACAATGTAGGTAAATAATTTAATACAATAAAATTAAGTTCAGAGGAAAAGAATAGGTAAAGTCCTACATAATTAAAAAACATCACTTACATAAGCCGAAAGTAGATCTCGCAAATCAGTTTACGAAAACACCAATAAACTTATAATAATTGTCCGAAAATTGGTAGCTACATGAAAATTGGGTTACACGAACGACTTTTTAAACGGACGCAGTTTCATCCTTATCTTATGATGGAGCAAACAAATCTTCAAAGAAAGCTGACGCGCTATCCTACTTGTTAAATAAAACACTTTTGACTTTTTAAAACATGAAAAATAGTAGATTACTTATTTTTCACTACAACCTGAGGTTTTTAAAGTAGCGTATATTTACAGCTACTCCTCGCATAAACTACAGAAATTGACTTATTCTAAGTTGTGTATATCTCATAGGTAAATGAAAGTTTTTGGTATTTTTTGCTAACTACTTTAGCTACGACCCGCTTTTGACGTCCAAACATTGTTAAAGACTTGACAACTTAGACGTAACTATTCGTTGTATATCAAAAACTACACCCAAAGCGTATGTTTGTTACTAATAGGCACAATACAGAACTATCAACACTTTTCCATATCGTAAACCGATTTCTACGCCGTTGATTTATTCAGTTTTAATATTCATAACTTAAAAAAGATAATTTGTAAAGACATTCTATTTCTATGCTTGAAGATTTGTTAGGAGGAGTCTCTAACATTAAGGACCAAACATAATTTAAACTATACACGTGCCATGCTATCGTAATAATTATGAGTATTATAAGTTGGAAGTGTTTGTTGACTTTACACAACCTGGAGGTTTGAAGCCATCTGTGCAAACAGAAGGGGTGCAAACTAACCAAAGATTATTAAAACACAATTTTGAAACTAAATTTACTTAAAGGGAAGACTTCAGAAGCTCCACATGATAGTCATAGTGAACTCGGTATACTTAGTCTTTAATTAAAAACCTTTTGGCACACTACAATTCGATATATTTTTATATTTTTTTTCTCCTTAGTGATTCCAAAGGACCTTTGGCTAGGTTTGGAATCGAACCAATTCATACTTCAAGTTTTAACATTAGTGCATCTTTGTTTTTTGGCAATTTTCAAGGGAAATATTACCCGAAACATAACCCGATATAATATGAAACCTATACGGTTTTATTTAAAATTAAATTAAAATAACTAGTAGGAAAATATTGCTATGATTGTTTAGGTAAAAATGAAAGCCTAGTAATAACTTACCACTATTATTGTGTATGACATTTTCAAATCTTTAAATCAGTAATAAATCAAGTTATGAAGGGCAAAACAGTATTGAAATAAATTTCAATTCAGGATCCACTCTTTGCAGTTAAAAAATTTTGTAAAACTGAAAGCGAAACTGTTCTCTTCTATCCCACTTCTGATCTATGCGATTTCAGTCTTAGCGTTTCACTAGTTACTAAATTATTTCTAGCTAAAATTAAGTTGTAAAACCCTGCGAAATTCTATCAATAGTGATTTCCCAATTTTTACATAATTCACCGTAACTCAATCATTTCCAATGTAAAACAAAACACTTAACGATACAAAAATGTCCTTGTGTATTTTGCCAACTACCAGTAAGTATTGCTCGCAAACGTTTCAAATTATCCACAAAATATATTGGACGGATAAAATTTCTTATATAAATAAGAGCTAAAAATTTGTACTTATTTAGAACAAACATTTATTGCGACTTTTATACATTACAATTGCTATATAATAACGCTTTCATTTATGTACGATTGTGATTACAATATTAGGCGGAACCATTTAGTTTACTAAAAAAACGGTTCGGTTTTTAAAAAATCTAAATCCAACCATACTTGAGACATGAAATTGTTCAATTCAGACGTTACGTTTGATATTTTTAGTTAGTTTCTTTAAAAAAAGACATACAATACTTTACATCTTTATAACTAAATACGTTGTCTTTTTCTAACATATTATGGTCGACAGAAAGAAAATGACCAAACGTGTAATATGGCATAATGTCATAAAACGTATCTTTGTACATTGTCAATTCAAGTACAAAATGTATAGGAGTTGTGTAGGTAAAAACAAAATAACTCTCCTTATAACGTTAGTAAAATTTACATCATGTTGCAAGCGCATGTATCGCGACGTTTTTGTTTGGTCAGATAAGTTGAAAATTTAGTTTATTACATCTTAGATTAAAATGTATATTCTATAATAAGGTTTTACCAAATATTGCTAATTAGTTTAGGAACAAAAATAAAGGTAAAATGAGATTTAAGTTAACGAGAATAAAGGAGCATCAATTCTTAGACTAATATTATTTTGGAATTGTATTTTCAAAACGAACTAAAGGAACAAACTTCCCGCTAGTGGGCGACACTCGCAAAAGGGTAAATAAACATTTCAATAACTGCACGTTGAAGTATACGTTTATTAAAACATAATTATAATAGCGGGGTATCAATACCCCGAAACCTAAATATAAATCTATATATTTATCGACCATCTTTATTTAAAAACCTCGGGATACACACACTTAACACACAATAATATACTCTATGTTCTATGCTTCACGGTACATTTTACACATTTACACATTCACCACCGTCTCGGCCCATTCCACCGGGGATTGTGTGGTCTGGGTCCGTTTCTCGGCCAAAACTGAGGACCAAACTGCCCTGGAGGCCTAAAGTTATTCCGCGGAGTCCAATTTCTGGGGAACCTATGCCTTGGGGTCCAATCGCTGTTTTTCGTGTCGTACATATCGATATCTGAGCGCATTTGAGGGTCATCTTCGTACGCAATGTCCACGTCTTCTGAGTAATGCTCATCGTAGGGTATGTTTTTGGGCAAGACCTCGTAACGAGGCGAGTTAGGGTATCCTTTGGGTATATTATTGGGGGGTTCTGGGAACATGGGAGGGGGCCGCGGGGAATCGTCGTAGTTGCTGTCGAATGTTTTGGGTTCAGGATAGCTCTTGTAAGGGGGGGTTTCGTAAGGAGAGTTCTGCGTTTGTGGCTTAGGGAATTCTGAAGGCATCGTGAACTTAAAGTTCGACGGCATTTTATCGAATGGGTTTGTAAGTGGAGGGACCACTGGGGCAGAGTGGGGACCGTCGATAGGTTTGTTGTTTGTGTGTATGTTGTCCCTCTTCACGTCACCGCCGACTAGAACCTTATTATTATTGAAGCTGTTTCGCCTGTGCTCGGTTTGGTTTGCACTTGGGTACATTCCTTCTGTGAACAAAAGCAATAGTTTGATAAACCTACCTATCAAATCCGATAAGTGGAGGGAAACATAAAAGATACTGTGCAACATATAGGTAATTACGAAAACACTTTAAACATCTTTCTAATTTTCGACCAAGCTAAAAAAGAAAGTAAAGAATATGAAATAAGGAATCCTTACGTTGTTCCTCATCTTCGGATAAATCCATATCAACGCTCTCCACTATATCCGGGGGCGGAACCATCATGGGAACTCGATAATCCTGTAAAGAGAACACACCCACATAGAGACAATAAATAATTTGACGAGCTCGTTGGCCTAATAGCTGCAATGTATAGCTAAGCAACGGGTCATGGGTTCGATTTCTAATTAATTAATAATATTTCTGAAACATGTTGGACTTCCTCGGGGAATCAGTTGAAAATTGCGTCCAGTCTAACCACCGTTTACAGATGAAAATTGCGCGAAGTTTAGTTAGTTTAAATCCAAACTGTGATCAAAAAATCAAAATAGGCCGACAGCGTATGCGTTAAATGTTAAATGACTGGGGTCATTCACCTTCCGTCAAGTAAACGCCATGCTTGTTCATATGATGCTCATAAAAATATTCTCATAACTAAAAAGATTGATCGCTTAGATACAGCTGATCGAGTTGTTTCATTAACTGACCTGATCTGTGCCCGGATTGGTCGGTCGCGGTGGCAACTGGTGTGTCAACGATATCAAATTTCTGTGGTCCACATCTGAAATCAAACATTCACAAGCTTTTAAATATTTTGTTACAGCACATGTTATTGCACATGACGTCATTATAAGTATAATATTTATTACAACATGGCATTATAATTATTAAAAATCGATTTTAGATTGAAAAATTAGATGAAAGGCAAGGATCGCTGTGGGTATCCACATATTTTGTGGACGATTTTTAGTCAACATATAAATTAAAAATTCAATCTGATTCATAATTACGGAACGCACGGAGCTTGAACCAATATTGAGTTATTGTTAAAGATTGCAGTCATTGCTAACGGTACTTCCAACAGATTGTAAAGGGTTAAAAAAAATATTTGCAAACACGATTCATAGATACTGTCTTTAGGTCTCCCCGTGACCACGACTGCTGCAAAGCATCCGAAACGTCGGGCCGAAGTTATAAATCATTTTTAAATAAGTTTAACTAATATATCGCGTTTTAAAGTGTTAGTGTTTTATTTAAACACAATTTATATTCTCGAAATTATATTTTTCAGTATACATATTTTTATGTTATAAGGGGTTGTCTAGTCTCATATAAAAATAACATGAAACATAAAGAAGACATAAATTAGGACTGTTATAAATACCTTGGTTAACTTGATGCCTCAATGGTGGGGGTGTAACCGGGGGCAGTGTCGGCATACTGGGCAGTAATCTATGGTCCACGTCTTCTATATCTATAGATAAAGTATTATTCTATGGCTCTTAGGGGCCACATACAATGCTTCTATATTATTATACATTACTACATGTTCCTCGTTATAACTATACTGTTTTTAATTATATATTCTAAGACTTATGTGGGACAATACCAATAACTATAGTATAAACTTATGAAATAAAAAACTCCATGTTAAAAATTTGTTAAGCACTAAAAGTGTTAAGCACTCTCTCTCTCTCTCTCTCTCTATGTCTTTCTCTCTCAATCTCTTTTCGTCTGTCTTTCTCTTTTTATCTTCAAAGTACTCCTAACTTCCACTTAAACTTAACTTCCAAGTTCTACCACTCACTCCTTTTGCAACAGTGATGATATGTTTGGAAGGATATGTGTGTGTGAGTTATGTTACAACATATGTGATTAGGACTAAAACAACTATTTATTAATTGTTTGGTATACAACAAAAATATAACTTGCTCATAATTGAATACTTACGTCCTAGCATAGGTAAAACGGGCGGAGGGGGCGGTGGTGGTAAGATCCCTCTATGATCTACGTCCAACGCTGAACTCGCCTGAAAGAATTTGTTTTCAGACTGTTAAATACAAGAATAATTCATTAAGTACGAGAGGTTCAGAGTTCTAATTATGAAAAAAACATACAGTTTCGATCCTACAGTATTATTTGTTACTTACAAAATTGATCAGTAAATGCACAGAAATGTGTCCGTTTCATGCCACATAGGATAAAGGGGCATTAGTATATAGAAAAATACCTACCGTTGTTTGCGTATCGACGACTGTGGGCACAGGTTGTGGTGGTACTAAAGAAAGCGGCGGAGACTCGGGTGGTTCGTCGAATATAGCACGATCGCTACCCACTGGTACAGGCGGCTAGAAATAAAAGTTCAACTTTATTGTCAAGTTCAAGTCAAAGACGACATTTATCTTAATTCAGACACAAAAATTTACATATACATGTCTTGCTAACAGATTATTTTAATTTTATTTTTTACTATTTTCTACTAAGCTACTGTATATTCAAAAATGTTTTTAGAATACCAGATTATGAATAAAACTAAAAACGTTATCAAAGTATTCTGTTTCGTTATTATTGAGCAAACATTTGTTGCTGACAGTTCTGTATACTGTCCAATTGAAACATATTTTAAATTTTCCCAGAATTCAAAACCTCTCGCACTTAAAACAATATTAGGTTAGATTAAGTAGTGGTAGTAACTATAAAAATAATATACACAGCATAGACAAAATAAAATATTACAAAATGTCTAAAATGTATTACTATAGTCAATGAAAAATCAAATCACGAGCAAATATTGAAAATTACGAACTACATCAAACAAATTCTAATGAGCTATTTGACAATGCGAAAAATACAGCATCAATAAGTTAGAAGTACTAAAACAGTCGCATATGTGTCGCATAAATAATAATTGATTAAAAAAAACCGCCAATAAAAATAATCTTTGTTAAACATTTGTCACATGACACAAAACGCTCCTGATTGGTCGGGTTTATGACGACGTCACTAGTTTATAAACAGCGCTTTAAACCACCATGCTCCCTAGCGTTGTAACTGTTCTACTCTCTGCATTAATAAATAAATAAATTTGTAACATTTTATTACTTCAATCACTGTTTAAATGTTTAGGCGCGCGATTTAAATGTTGGAATTTTTACTAGATATATTTCAACAAATATGTATTAGAATTCAAAAATACTTTTCTGGGGTTCCACAACATCTACCAAACAATATAAAGTACATTATAAAAATCAGTCAAATAGCCCAATCTAACTACAGCGACATAAAAAAAATCACATATTTAGAATCCCTTTTTCATTCCATGAGAACACTAAATTATTTCGATGCAATTAATTTGTCTAGGCATTCATGGTTGGTATAAATATAGTGAATATTCTAATCAATCTGTCAAAATGTTATTAGAACAACGCATTACCTTTAGTGATGTGCGTACAACGAAAAAAACAAAAGAAAACGAACCGTGAGTGTCGCGGGCGGCACACTCCATGCATTCGTCCACGACTGACTACTCACTATTGCCTCGGGCATGTAGTGTTGTTCCGGCTCATCTGTAAGTAAGTTACATTTTATTATATTTATTAAGTTACATTGAACGAATCCTGCGCAGAAGTCAAAAATAAGATATAGAAGGACGGAAGCGGGCGCGGGGCGAGTGAACGTCATGTGCGCTAGCGTTTATTTATTTATTTATTTATTTACAACAATTAAAACGGCAATAGCCAGTTACATTAATTGGAGACACATACTTAAACAATAACAATTAAAAATAGGTTATTACAAATTACATTAGGAGATAATTTCAAAGGCAGACAATTCTTTTAGTATTGATGACCAATCATCTGCGAAGAGGTCACATTTGGGTCTTAACTTGAGCGTTGATTGGTTCCCCAGTCGTGTTGTCTTTCTCGGACCAATACGACGCTCTGCTTCTTAAGTGCGCGTGGCGCGATTGTAAAGATGCGCAACTATATTCGTTCAGCGCTGAACATCCGTGCCGCGACCTCTACGCATTTAAATAAAATACTTAAACGGTTTAAAACGCGACCGGTCCGTGGGTAAAATATTAAAAAGAAATACTTATTTTAAAATAAATTTTATCATAATTTTTTTACAGAAATTTCACAAATAAGTCAAATACTGAATGTATGTGAAATTAGTGTTTTTGAACTGACAAAATCATAGACAACTCACCGCTCACAGTAGTCACTGGATCCAGAGAGCTGTAGAACGACATCGGTGGAGGGGGATTCCCCGTACTATCCGGCGTAAGTAGATCTAAACCTGGCAGAGTTTCTTGAGGTTTCGACGCACTCGCGCTAACATCTACAAATAAGGTTTTTATCGTTGAGATATAGAACTCATTACAGATAAATATTTTTAACCATTCCTATTTTTTATGTGACCTCTTCAAGGGTCCAAAATATTTAAGGAGTTTTCGCTTCTGCAACTGTCCCATATTGTAATTTTATACAACTTGTTTAAACGTTAAATTGTTTGTATTACAATTATGTTATATTACTGTTAAAAGTACGTAAAATAAAAATTTATAAAACTGTTACTTTAGCGTCCTAGGCAATATTTTACTAGAGTTATCACACAAGTATTAGCGAGAGTTAGGGTCTGTAAGAAAATTTTTCTAACGAAATCTTGTTTTTTATTAAGCCATGTGTCTATTTTACAGACTGCAAATAAATAATTGGGATATCTACTAACTACTAACAACACGCGCAGCTAGTTCGATTTCTTTTCTGTACACTTTCTTCTCTAATTCTTCGTGAATATATTTACCATTGGTGAGATCAATCTCATCTCCAAACATCGACAGTGGATTATCCGTAGATAGGAATGAGGACAGGCCCAGGTTGTAGAGTGAACCGTCTGCGGACACTGTTGAGTTGAATGTCTGGTCTATGTTGTATGCCACTGAAAATTAGAGGACAAAATAAGTAACTAAACCACGACAACAAGTTTCAAAATCAGGATAAATATATGTAAAATCTCTTTATTCTCACTTGTAGCTTACAGCAGACACAATTCTGTGTCTGTATCACTTATTATATTTGTCTGGTTTTCTTCGTCCTCTACAGAAAAAAAGGCAGCTTATATACAAGAGACAGAGGAGGGAAATAGAAGGACTTTTAAGAATATAGTAAAAAGTCCCTTGAAGCTGTAAAGAACTCACCATCATCCTCGCCTTGTATATTTGGAAGGGGTAGGTCTTCATCAGGTCCAGGCGACGGCACATCCTCATCTCGCAATGGAGGCGATGGCACAGCAGAAGGCAAAGTTGGTATCAGTTCATCTAATTTTCTTTTTAGGGCTCGCACTCGGGCACCAAAGTTTTTATATGCCTGGTTTACATAACATCTCTTATTTATTACTAAATAACAACCATTTTATGTTAAATATGTACCTATATCTTATTATGATGTAAGAAAGAGTAATAAAGTTAATTTAAATGTACTGTATGTGTAAGGAAATACTTGTTTTGACTAGTTGAGCTGAACTAATAGTAGATTTAGCACATGTTTTAAACCATAAGAAGTGCTTCTAGTGGGACTGTAATTTTCTACTACAACTAGGCTCTTAAAATCTTATACTTTGTAGTTTTATTTTCAAAATGTTAATACATTAAAGATAAGCTAATTACAAAAAAAATGTCTAAGGCTTTCAAGGCTATCGTTCAGCATATTATTGCTGACGTAAGCAAGATGAGATTCACTAACTTCACTCAGTCATTTAGAAGATTTCTTAATTATTTTTTTTGCAATATGCAGTAAAGATTTTATCTTTTCAATGTTATTAGGAAAATAAAACTCTACTTACATATGCCACAACTTTAACTTCCCCTCTCTGAGTAGAATAGTATTGGTTTGACGACGTTAGCAGCACTAACAGTGCTTCCCGCGCGACTATTTCTCTCTGCAATGCCTGTGTGTATCGCTCAACACATCCAATACCTTCATTCAGTTCTTTAACAACATCGTCTTTTAGATACCTATCTGCAAGAGATAAATGATCTGTTTACATAAATACATATAATTAATTTGGTTTTTAGTACTAAACTACTTGAGTTTGAGTGAAATGGTTTGGACTGATTACCTGGCCTTCTATCCCACCCTAAGAAAATAATAATTACTGAGTAAAGACACACTTGTATGAAATACTGTCTATAGTTTACGCGAGTAGTAAATTTAAATAAAACACTTTAACGGTTTAAAACCGAAATTAGTTAAACTTATTTGAAAAATTTTAACTTGGCCGTTGATGTTTGAAGTGGTCAGAGATAAAGATGGAGGATTCTCAGACTCAATAAAGAATTGCTAGCTAGCGCCATCTTTCCGTCGAATTGGTATTTGGCGAACTGGCAAATATTTATTGAAATTTGGTGTTTTTTTTAAACACCGAAATTTAATAGGGAGGACGGCCTCACTATAAACACCTGGGATCCCATATTAAAAACTCTGGATCCCAATAAACAGCATACCAGCAAACGCGAAGACACCGTTATCAATTTGTAAGGACCCGGCAGTTTCGCCAAATACCAATTCACGGAACAGATGGCGTAGCGTAGCAATTTTTATTTGACGTTGAGACATCCTCCATCTTTATCTCCCCGTGACCACGTGTGCAAAGATCCGAAACGTCGGGCGAAGTTAAAAATATTTTCAAATATTTAATAAATATTTTTACCTTTGTTTTATTTAAAACTTGTATGAATTAATTTTTATTATATGTCTAATTTTATGATTCTGGGACAAATTAGCTTTCTAGCAATATCTTCTTGTTAACAAGAATGAATAAAATCTGTAGTGATTTTGCAGATATTTTGAATGAGAGTAACCAAACTCAAACCTGATCAATATAAATATAAGTAAATACATTTACATTAACAGTCACTAATAAGCATTAAAAAAATACGAAAGTATTAGGGGAAGTTTTATAAATCAGTTATATTTGTTCCTAGAATTTGGTGACATTTTAAGCAGTAGTTTATGTTGAGGGCTCAAACACACCAAGGTCAGCATGTCATTTTCTATAAATAAAAAAATATACTTTTTAAAATTTCAAAAATTATTTAGATTCCTTAAAAGATGTTTGCCTGTCTGTCTATCTGCCGTGATTCTACAGAGTGTTCCAAAGAGCAACATGACCTTGGGCCCTTAAACATATTAAATACTGTGATACTATATATCAATAGAATAATGTTTTGGCATTGCTACAAATACAGAAAAATATATATCACCTTTGAGATCAATGCTGAGAGCATCTGGATCTGATAAACCAAGTCCACATTCATGTATGTGTTTTAGTCTCAAGTCTGTGTCTGCCTCAAGGACTGAACATTGTTTTATTTTGTTCATTAACTGGTTTGGCTGAAACAACAGCACATTATAGTGGCTAGTAAAATTATGATAAAAGAAATTAATTATAAAATAGGCAATAATATACCAACAAATCTTATATTATTTTATTTTGAAAAATCCAACAGTGAAATATTACCTCTTGACCATGTAACTAAAGCTAAAGCCTTATTCTATACATTTAATGTTGTTTAGGAGAGAGAATAATTTCAATGCCCTTATTACCTGAAAATCCAGATCATCATCAGTCTTTTTAGCTGCCCCAGCAACTAACAGGCCAGTCAGGTCAGAGAGAAACTCGTCATCATAAACTGATCTTTGCTCCCAAATTTTGAAGATACGTAATATTTTGGGACGCACCTTCTCATCTCTGTAATAACAAAAACTTAAGCATCACATAACAAGTCTTGTTTAAAGTTAAATAATTATTTTTATTTACTTTGTAATTGATTTATGATATAAAAAAGGACAAAAACTGCCAACTTAATAATCTTTGGCATACCTGACAAGAGGAGTTGCTTTTTGCAAATTGAGGCCCCAACTTTCGACAAATTCGTAGTTCTTTCTTTTACTATATTGGATAACATCGTTGGCCAGGTAAAAAAGAACTAAGCGTTGTTCAACCTTCACACGCTTCAAGACGTTAAGCCAACTGGACACAATCTTTTTGTGATGGGGCCTTTGTTTCAAACACCACGACGATAAACCTTGAATACTTTCTTGAGTATCCTTTAACTGTGCTAGCTTCTTTTCAAACTCCAATGTATTGAATTCTTCAGTTTCTCCCATAGTTTTTTAAAACTTTAAACTTCCGGCATACATCAATCATACATATATTATCTCATTACAGTATTTGTAATGTAACCTCCAAACAATATAATTTCATAAAATTTTGCTCAGAGCACTAAGATCTCAACAAATAAAGTTGTGGAATATACAAATTAATAACCAAAAAACTGTTTACAATATGAAGGAAGATTTGAACCGCATTTTCAGAATCAATTGTTTTAATATATAATGATCATCAAACGCTAATTCAGTGTTTTGAATGTTATTAACGTTCCAATATATTATAAAATTTGTATATTGATATTAATTACATTTCGGAAATGCAACAACCGCCATTTTCTCCTCTTGACATTTTTAACACAGATAATTGTGTTATTATGATTGTTCGGACCACAGTTGAAAATTTAACAGGGTGCTATAAGCGATACAGGCTATAAAATGTGATATCAAAAAAACCTAATGAATAATAACTATTTTCAATAAGTGTTTTAGATATAAACGATTGATAGTAAATCTATTTAAATAATAAATGCCCTATCTAGGCAAAGGGAATAGTGAAGCCACTCCTTCACTGCTATACAATCATGATCATGTCTATCCTTAGAAAGTCTCGCATCTAAAGTACTGAGTAATAACATCTTTGTATATTTAAATATATGATTAAGGATACACGGAGTTCTAACCACAGTTTTTAGATATAAGTGTCTTATTTATAAAACATGAATTTGAGAAAATTGAGAAATTGATATATAAAATGCAGTTTATTAATAAAACATATATAGAATACATTATCATAGCACTTTAAGATTATAAAAAATTCACGGTAAGATTATGATAATAAATTCTTCTTCTTCGTAAATTGGCTTTCCCATTCTGAATGGATTTTGCCAATATCGTGCGTCTTTGTGAGGAATAACAAGGCGTGAAACAAAACTTTTATTGTTATTTTTATAAATTTTTTTTATTATAAAAAGTAGCAAATACTTTATTATGACTTGCACCTGACAGCTAACTTGACAGCATGTCCTTATTTCGGGCTAAGAAATAAGAATATTAGATAAATAATAATATCGTCATACCCTGAAATAAGTCGCTAGGAAAAACAATTTTTTAACCTTTCATATTGTTATTCCCTATTTAGTACATCTTATTGACACTCTCAATCCACATCCAATCCATTTAAGTGTATATTTATTGTCGGATATCAAGAATTACGATATACCTAGGGTAAGTACCTACTTTATTTTCACTGTATCTGTTATCAGTTTAAATATATTGTAATGGAGTGTATAAAAAAGCTACATATATATAAAATCTATAGTTTTTGTAGTAGTTTGGAGGAATAAAAAGTACTTCTTTTTAAATTTATTATATTTTAGGAACATGGTTGAATTGAATGGAGAAAACTTAGGAAAAGCACATCAAGAATTACATATTAAAGTGCAAGAACTTGTCGAGAATGAAACTAAATTGGAGGATATAAATGATAATGAAAACAGCTACATAGACAAAATATTAAAGATCCGTGTTGCCTCTAAATTAAAAAACATTTATTATATATTAGAGGTAATGAAATGTGGAGATAGTTTATGTATTTCACATGCCTTGATGTGTGAATGGATATATGATGATGCTTTTTCCAACATTATTAACCCAGATTACCTTCACCACGACGTCTTTCCTCTTATGTCTTTAAAAATGAAGAATAAGATGTTGAACAAAATTGCTGCAAATGTCAGGAATGAGACCAGAGCAGCTGCTTTCTTCACATACTGCAAGAGCCTTAGAATAGAACCTGTAGCACAAAAATTTCTCTATTTTACATCAGATTCATTTAAGTCAAATTTGATTGAAAACAAATATCAATTGAACAATATTGATTCCAATTTGAAATATTTAATAGGAAATTCAATTGATTTGGCAGTGTTATTTATATCTCAGATAGAATTTGATACTGCCAAAGAGGACTACTTAATGCAACTGGCTTATTTGTATACAGTCGATGCAGAAAAATATTTAAATTTGTTTGAAAAAAATATAAAAACAAATCGTGGAAAACGGTTTGGTGGTAGGATGTCTAAAAGTATCCTGACAAATCATAAAACCAGAGTTCTTAACTTGCCCAGTTTATATATTCATAAACTTAACAAATATATGCTAGTTCGTCACAGCACTAGTGAAGATGCAAAGAAATATATTGCATCACTGCTACCCACAGACTTAGAGAAATTCTGGAAAAATGATTTTTATGGTGCTTACAGTTATATTTTTAATATGATTCCTAAAAGTGAAGCCTTTAAATTCTTCAAAAATTCTTTCAAAGCCCTGTATGGTGACAAACCATTTGAAAAAACTTGTGAATTTTATCACTTTCGTTATTACGAGCTCTTTTGTGAAGAAGATAAAGAAAAATGGGCATTACAGCAGATTGAGGATAGCGCAGAGTTACTAGGGACCAATAAGGACTACATCTGGTTTAAATTTGTCAACTTTGATCAAGCATTAGTTGCTATTAAAAAGTATATATTGGTGACAGCCGATGAGGATGATAGAAATGAAATGGCCATGGTGCTGATTAAGTCTTGTAAAAATCAAAAGGACTTACAAAAGCTATTTGAATACTATTATGAAAGGTTTGTTAATGAAAGTGGTCATCATAAAGAAAATTTTATAGACCAAGTTGTTGAAAATCATAATATATTTCAATTTGATGAACAATGCTGGACGGCATTCAATAAAATCTTATACAGCTTGCAAGTATACACCCCGGGTTTTTTTGGAAAGAATAAATATAGAACGTTTTGCATCATCTATAACATAATTCATAAAAATGAAATGCATACTGCTTTAACACATTTCATGGACTCAGAAATTATGCCTCTTCGTTGGATACAACGTCACTCAAAGAACCTAACCAAAGAGCAAGTAGATGATATTTATCAGTATCTTTTTGATTATTATGTCAAGCAATTTCATGCAACTGAAGGTAAGAAAAGTAAGGAATTAAAAGAGAAGAGGATAGATTCTGCTTCAAGACTTCTTCACCTTCTTGAGAACTTTAATAAAAAGATAGATGATATACCTGAAGTAATATTAAACTTTGTTGAAGAAAATATTAAGAATTTCAAACATATGGATTTGTTAAAAGACAAAAGAGTTACAGAAGCATCTCTTATGCGTCTTCTAAAGAAGGACAAGAATTTGGTAATCACAAAACTACCGGAGGTAATGATAGATTCAAATTATGACCAAATAAAATTGACTACACTATTAAAGAAAGTTAAAGTTTATTTTCCGAATGATATAGCGATTGAAATTCTTAAGTTTTTCGATGAACATATAAAAAAATCAAAAGAAAATGATTGGAATATGAGAACAGCTGTTTACGCTGTTTTCATTTTAGGCAATGAGGTGTATAAAAAGCAATTGTTGGCTAAGTATTCCCCAACTGAACCAAAAATTGACCATAGCAAGATTGATAGAAACCTATTGGGTATTCAAGAAGCAATATGTCGATTTGCTTGTTATTCCTTCCCACCAGTACCTTTGAATGCTATAATGCCCTATATCACTGGTGACTATGTCCACTTTTGCCTTCCGATGTTTAATATGTATTTGTCTAATCTTCCATTGCCCCTATCAATAAAATTCATTACAGCTATTTTAGAGGCCCCTATTTCCATTCAAAAACATGGCATAAGAATGGCCTTCAAAGCATTCACAACAGAAAATTTAAAACTCTTAATAACAGACGTCTGGCGAAAGACAAAGAATGTTTCATTAAGGCAGGTTATGTATAAGGCACTGGTGACTAAAATAGATCAGAGCAATGAAATTACTCAGGATGAATTATTTGATACCCTGAATATGTTTACTTCAACGTTACACACGGACGACCAAGATGGTGTCTTCAGCCTTATAACGTCTAAGCAAATTCCAGATAGATTTAGAGGTAAATTATTGGAAACCACTTGGATGTCCGTTAAGAATTTGTCACACAAGAAGTCCAAAAACATTTTGATCAAAATAAGAATAGTCAGAAAAATCGAACAATATATTAAGTTGGTAGATCGTGCCTTTTGCAAGAAAGAAATAGTGCAACTGCACATTGATAATATGTTGGTGAAAAAACAAATCCAAGATTCATTTACTGTATACGAAGATGACCTTTTTAAAGAAATGTGGTCTTTAACCTCGATGTTTCTGATTTCTTGTAAAGATGAAAGTGATCTAAATGAATCATTGACTCTTATTGATGTTGTCTATAAAGAGACGTTTGATCAATGGAGTTATGTGTCAAAGGATAATATATACGTCGTGATGAGATTTTGCTTTGATTTTATAAATAACATTAAAGAGAAAAGCTTTGAAGAGTCCCAAATGGACAACGTCTACATTATCCCTATTCTGGAACACATTACAAAATTGCTTGAAGAATTTCCTTTAGCTCACAAAATATATGTACCTTTTTTTAAAGTAAAATTTTATACAAATATTAGAAAGATAATGGAGAAGACGTTAACAGATGCTGAACATACATCAAAATTTGTTGTTAATTCACTGGTGAAATTAATAGAGGATCTTAAAACTAAAGATAAATTGGCTGAAAGCTTACTTGATACCTTGAGCGATATTGTAAGCAATATCCTTCGCGACATGGCACTCTTGTTAAAGCAGAATGCAGATATACTTATCGCATACGTTTGTATTGATCTTCTCGAAAACAGTTTCTTTAATATTCTTTTAAGTATCGCTACAATGCCTTTGGACCCTTATTACAGTGAAACAGATATAACTTTGTTCCGGGAACTACAAACAAGATTCATTAAAAAGATAAATAATATCAATAACTTTGACATCCAAAGTTATTACTTCAATAAGTTTGTTGCTAACGATTTTCGTAAGAGGGTTGAAAGTTAAACATACATTCTAAAATCTAATCATCTTTCGTGTTATTGTCAATTTAAGCTACTTAATAATGCGTGATATTAGCTTTACAAGATTTATATTATTTTGTTTAATATTACTACGTATTCAATAAAGTTTTAAAATGCTTAATATTTTTATACAAATACAGTTTATTACATTCAAGGGTGTATTTTATTTAACCTATTTTTATAACTATTTAATTGGAAAATAGGTAGGTACAGCAACAACGCAAAAACTTTTGAAACTTTAAAGCATTCATAATTTTATTTTAAAATAGTTTTTAGTTTATAATATTTATAAGTATTTAGTTTAACTATTAATAAGTGACACAACTGCAAGTCTACTTTAAAAAAAATGTAAATAGGTTCTAGGCTTAATAAAAACAAATTTTTAATAAATCAATGTGTGATTATCATAATATCAGGAAATTTTTAAAGAATCATAGATAGGACTAGCGTTTTTAGGTTGTTCCAACCAATACAAATAATTTGAGCTCAAATACAAAGGAGCAAATCATTAGTTCCTTATTCCCTCGATTCCATCAGCAGATTTACTCCAAACCTTTATTAAATTATACCTACTTCGTCAAGCACCACTTAAACATCTTTAAAAATAACGTTGAATTCGGTTCATATACAACATACAAGAGCTATCCTTTGAAGTCCTAAATAGTTTCAATCAATCAAGACACTGAAATTTGATCAACTGCTTAACTTTACAGTCAGTCAGTGAAACTGACACACAAACGTCTCCGTCGCATGCCCCACTTATAACCTATGGGGACGGTTTGTAAACCTACTTTACAAATAGGTACATAAAAATATGTATATTCTGAAGTAAGGCGGTTGCCGGCCGGCGCGATATAACATGTAGGTACTTACTATAGGTATATTGCTAAAATATACCTATCCATATGTATTATTCCCTTCCCGTTACCGTTAGTCACTTAATGGCAGTACAACAGAAATGACGTAATGCAAGTAATACATTACAATTCTTTAATTTGAGTATAGTGTTATACGTTGAAAATTCGAGCAAACTTTGCAATTTTAACGGTTACCTTTTTTTGGTAAGTAGAGCTTCAAGTAACTTATTTGTTTACAAGTGATACAACTTAACCTTAAAATATCAGGAATCGTTGGTTTATGATAAAAAAGAAACAATTGTTTTACAGTTGAATTATTAACACCATAAAGTACTTTATGATTTTGTTTTAAACTTAAGAACTCTTACTCAAATAAGATTATATAAATCTTACAAGAATGTTGTTTAATGTTGTGTAAATTAAGTGGAAATAAATACCTACCATCTTTCATAAGCTTATTGTTTAAATAAAACACTTTAACGGTTTAAAACGCGATATATTAGTTAAACTTATTTGAAAATATTTTTTAACTTCCGGCCCGACGTTTCGGATGCTTTGCAGGAGCCGTGGTCACGGGAAGACATTATTATTGTTTTAATTTCGTTAAGTAGGAAGTGGTTGTGACTTGTGACTTGAAGTAGGTAAAAGGCATGGGTTCAAATGGTTAAAATATTTTAGATAATATATATAGGCGGGATAAACCAAAAGGTTATGAAATAATGAATCATAGGAATGCCAAATTCTTGTGCAAAATATAAAATTCATTTTCCTCAACCGGATTCTAAAAATAAAACAAACGATCTGATAGCTGTGTTTTATAAGCATAAATTGTTATCAACTATACTTACAATTACTTAAAAATTTAACAGTAATAGGTACCTATGTTACTTATAAATGATCACGTCTAGTATAGACTTATAAAATATTTTAAATTTTTAAAGTAATATATAATATGACCTTTAGTCTACGCGAGTAGTACACATTGAAATAAAACCCTTTGTATGGGTTTAAAACGCGATATATATTAGTTAGAATTATTTAGTTTGTTAAAATAATTTTCAAATAAGTTTAACTAATATATACCGCGTTCTTAACCGTTAAAAGTGTTTTATTTAAATTCGATATACCTATAACATTATTTTCCTTTTAGTTAGGGTAGCTGTCAAGCCGTAAAAATATGTTATCTCTAAGCCCTAGTGTACAACACATCCGTTTTTTAGTTATGTTTGATAGTAAACCTAAGTATAGATAACAATCAATTAGTCGTAGCTGTATAAATATAACATAGTTCTAATATACTAATGTTTGTTACAGATATTTCGAAATGGTTGAGTTAACTGGAGACACGTTGGGAGAGCTTCATCAAGAACTTAACTTTAAAGCAGCGGAAATATTTAAGAACAATGCAAATTTCGATGACATTAAATCGTTAGAGGAAAAGTCCGATGTGGACCAATTATTTAAGATCGAAGTAGCTTCAAAATATAAGAACATGGACTACATGTTAAAGATCTTAAAAGGTGGGGACAGTTTATATATTTCACGAGCACTTAAGTGTGTGTGGATGTATGACGATGAATACTCACACATAATTAATCCAGAATACCTTCATAGCGAAGTGTTTCATCACATGTCTTTGAAAATGAAGACCAAAATGATCAACTCGATTGCATTTCACATCAGGAACCCCGACAGAGCTGCAGTTTTCTCTCTGTATTGCAAAAATAAGAGAATGAAACAGCAGGCGTTGAAGTTTTTCATTTTCACTTCAGAATCTTTCAAGATGGATCTGATAAACGAAGATTGTTACTACCTAAGTAAGCACGGCTACCCAGAGCTATTCATAGGCAATTCGTTCGCCCTCGCCGAAGCGTTTATTTCCACGGATCATTATATTATACAAAAAGAACGATTTGTGAATGACTTATCTTATTTGTACAACGTAGATGAAAATAAGTATTTGGATTTCGTCGAGAAGCATGTCGATCCGGAACACGCGTTTGTACTTTTCGGTTGTCGGTTGTCCAAGAGCGTCATAACTAAACATAAGGATCGTGTTTTATTAAATCCGGTGCTGTACGTGAAAAAAATTAAGCGACATATTTTACTGCGTTATATTAACATTGAAGATGCCAAATTATTTATTATCCGTCTTTTTCCTCGTCATGCTGGAACGTTTTGGAATCATAATTATTACAATCACCTCTCCTACTTATTTAAATTTATTCCTCGTAATGAGACGTATCAACTTTTAAAGAAGGCCTTTAATCTTGCCTATGGTGATGTACCTTTTGAAATGCAGTATAAGTTCTATTATCATGAATACTACCACTTTATGACACAAGACGAAAAGGAGTCTTGGGCTCTTGCACATTTGAAAGAAAACAAAGAAATCTTGGGCAGTAACAACGATTACATCTGGTATAAATTTGTAAGTTTCGGCCACGCCTTTCAACCTATCAAGAAATTAATTATGATAACCCCTGATACTGATTTGCGAAATAAAATGATCATGGTATTAGTGGATACAGTAAGAAATAAAAATGATTTAGAGGCTTTAATCAAATATTACCACAACCGACACAATAACGAAAATATTGATACTAAGAAGATATTTTTAAGTGCTATTATAGAAAAGAACAATGTTTTTGAATTGGATGAAGCATGCTGGGATGTATTTAATAAACTTTTGTATAGCATTGAAGTATATACAGTTGGATTCGGTGGTGTAAATAGCTATAGGCTCATTTGTGTTCTGTACAACATCATCCACAAAATTGAAATGCATTCTATATTAATAACGTATATTGATAGCTATATGGATGTTAGCCAACTGAAAAGATATTCAAATAAACTGAAACCCAAAGAATGGGACTCGGTGTACGATTATTTGATTCCATATTATTTGAAAAAATTTAAATACTCAATAAAATGGGATCAACATCACACTATTGAGAATAAAAACACGTACGCCCGCTATTTGATTAAACTGTATGAATGCTTTAATAAAACCAAAGAAGATATTCCAAATGACGTCTTACTGTTTGTAAAATCTAATTACAGTAGCCTTAAATACGAAAAGTTCATTCAAGATCCTGTCCAAGAAGTGGAGAAAATTAGAACTACAGAAATAGAAACAAAAATAACACCCTATCGTTTAGAAACAATAACAGAAGGGTGTCTAATGAGGTTGTTAAAGAAGGACAAACAGACAATTATGGAATTAATGCCTGAAATACAATCATGCATAGGAAAACGAGAATTTAGACTAACAACATTTCTTAGGAAAATAAGTGTATATTTTCCACTCGGCTTAGCGGATGCGTTTCTTTCTCTTTTTGAGGATTGTTTATGCGAAAGCTCTGAGAATTATGATGAATGGCAAATAACGAAAAGTGCTATTTACGGTATATTCTGTCTCGGTGATGTGAACAGCATGCAGAGATTGCTAACGGAAAATGTACCTGAAGAACCCAAAATTGATCACAGTAAAATCGATAGAAAGCTCTTAGTGATTCAAGAAGCGGTATGTCGTTTTGCGTGCTACTCTCGTTTACCAGTGCCGCAGGAAGCTATTCTTTCTTACATAAAAGGGGATTATGTACACTTTTGCTTACCTATGTTCAATAGATATTTATCCAACTTGCCATTACCACTTTGCCTCAAATTCATTGAGAGCATTTTAAATGCTCCGTTGTCAGTGCAAAAACACGGAATTCGCCTCGCGTTTAAAGCGTTCAGTGCCGAAAATTTGAAGCGGCTTATAAGCGATGTATGGAGTAGAACAAAAAATGTATCTTTAAGAATGCTAATTTATAAAGCTCTCTTTGATAAAATCATTAACTCGGATGAATCAATCCAAGACGACCTTTTCGAAGTAATAAAATCCTTTACTCTGACGTTACACGATGAAGATCAACAAGATGTTTTCAATCTTTTAGTGTCTCATGAAATGCCGGAAAGGTTTAAGGGCGATTATTTGCAAGCCGCATGGGAATCTGTAAAGAAGTTACGCGATGATAAAACGAAAAATATAGCAATCAGAATAAACGTTATTAAAGATATTGAAATACATATAGAAGAAATGGACAGAGATTACGTAAAGCGTGAACTGATAGATGTGCATACACATAATATGTTTCATTTCAGAGGTATAAGAGATAATCCTACAGAAATTATGACGTCATACAATAACTGTTTATGGAATGTGGCTGCAAAATATATTGTAGCGAGTAAAAATGAAACCGAGATTGAAAAATCCTTAGAGCTTTTGCAATTTATCTTACAAGAGTTACATAAACACTGGGATTATTTTTATAGACAAACATACACCGTGTTGAGACACTCATATGATTTTGTACAGAAATTGAAAGAAAAAACGGAGCTGAATTCCTATAAGTATAGCAAATACAATGTTCTTATATTTGAGAGAGTTTTACAGTGCCTTGTAGAACTGACTCCTCAAAGTGAAATTTATATGCTGACTATAGACTTGAAGCTATACATAATTGCAAAAAGAATTATTGTTAACAATAAGGTCGATGAAGTTTTAGCCGAGGACCGTAAAAGAGTATCCGAACAAGTAACGAAAGAACTTGTTTCCTTTTTTGATGACTTGAAGACAAACAACATTTTACTTTCAACTTTTTATAATTCCTTTCTTGAAGTTGTTTCTGAGACTTTTATAAAAATGTCTATGGTACTTAAGACTACTGGGAATTTATTGTTAGCAATGGTGGCTAACGAATTAATAAAACTAAAGGAAACCGATAATACGCTTTTAGCGTTATCGCTAATGCCGTTAAACCTATCTACCAACTATGCTAATGAAATAGCAGAATTCAAGTCTATAGGTTCAAATATAATAAAAGAAGTAAAAGATATAAAAAACTTTGAAATCCAAAGTTTGTATTACAACAAGTTTATAGTAAATGGTTTTCAAAGAAGGTTTGAGTGAAATTTTGAGTTACAAAATGTTTTCTTTTTCTGTATACATATTATAAGCTTTATATAAAAATATTATAGCGTTTTACTTTCTAAACCTTACGATATACGCTGAAATAATAACATATACATTTACGAAAAACAAAAAGTTGTAAGTAGTATTAGGTAAGTTTATTTTTTTAGGATAGTTTTTATTTCATTTATTTAAAAATTGAATCGTTTTATTTTAAAAGTATTGCATAATTATTATTTTTTATTTTATAAGTCATATATCTCAGCAATTAGATTAATAGTTTCTGATAATATTTTACATTGCAGAGTATTAAATAGTAAATACTATTGTTTTATTCTCTTGATTTTGGTTGTAAGAACTAGATATCTGTGGGTGTACCCATAGATCTTACTTGATTTTGAAAGTGGTCTATGGTTTAATTAGTTTTCGGGCCAATTATTATGTTGTGATTTTGTTTATTCGTTAAATATTCAAAGTAAACATTTTATAAACACTAAACAGGAAATATTTAACTAATACTTAAAGAAAAATAGACTTACTAAGATATTAAATGAGTTGTCGCGTCATTAAGACATAACTTCCGGGAGACATTGGTATAACTTTTAAGATTTACGAGATATTGTCGTATTTCTGTATAATATAATGTCTCTCTTACAAAATCTGGCTTATAAAGAATATAAACATTCTTTAAGCTTGAGCCATGAACAATGTGAAGTTATAGCAAAGTTAGCAGATCTAAAGTATGTTTTAATTAAATATTAGTTAAAGCATCATTTCTTTGGAACTAAATACTTTGGCCTCCAAACATTACTGCTTGAATTAAACATATGAAAAGAATTTGTAGCTTTGTAACAGAGTGGAATAATATTACATGTATAATAAAAAAGAAATTGAAATAGTAGAAAACTGATGTACGGCTAAGTATAAAACTGTAAATGTTATCAGTTACATTGAACTGTAATTTCTTTCAGAATAACTTTTAGTGAAACTAAATGCCCAGGAGAATTGTTAATGAAGCTTCTAGATAGAAAAGGATACTCAGTACCACAGTACAAACAATTTTTAACTACCGCTTTGCACACGAAAACTGTTTTAACATACTATCAGCCGCAATCAAAAGTTGCCATATTAATTGCTAATGACAATTATGAACACTTATCCAAATTAGCCACTCCATCTAAAGATTGTGAGTCCCTGGGATCGAGTTTAAGGAATCTGGGATTTATTACTGTCTCCATAAGAAATACTACAAGTGTTGAACTCAAAGCAATTATAGCTACGGTAATTGGTTTAATTCCGGAAAATTCATATTGTATGTATACAGTTATTATTACTTTCATAAACTACTTATGAGTACATAATTGTATTGTTTAATTTGTTAATTTTTATTGTTTAACAACATTTTGTTACAACCATATATCCTTAAAATATAATAAATAATTCAATTTTTTTCACTGCATATACCAAGAATGGCATGAAAACAGGGGAATAATATCCTTTTTCATGGTAGATGAAAATAATGCTTATGTTAAAGTTATTTTGTATTGCATTTTTTTTGTCATTTTCCAGGTTTGATTTCTGGTATAAACAGATCTACAGAAAAAAAATCTGTAGCAACTCTATATCAGTCTTTTTTTATTGATGTCACTAAAACGGCATGACTTTATCTTTTACAGGTCTTATCTTCTATGCAGGGCATGGCTGTGAACTATGTAATACAAAATGTTTACTAGGCATTGATTGTCCATCTGAAGATATATCTCTTACACATTGTGTTACTGAGAATTGGTTATTACAAGAGGTATATAAATGTAGAGCTGAGTTGTGCATTCTCCTAATGGATATGTGCAGATTGTGTTTGGATAGGTAAGTTAGACTTCAAGATTAATGTTTTACTTTTATGTTAAAATAAAAAACTTCTAACACTTTAAAATGTGAAATAAAGTAGTTCACATTATATTTATTTTTATCATACCGCAATCTATGTATTTTACATTAGGGACGCTTTCCATCTTCAGTCCCATGTCACCATTGTTGCAAAACATCAGTAACATTCAAACATCCATACCATCTAAAACAAATCTGTTTAAAAAGATCTTTCTTAGAACTTAGAAACACTCATTCTATGAAAATTTTTGGTGTTCCAGAAATTCTAATCCAGATATCTTCAATAACTTATGCAATATAGAAGAATACTCAATTCATAGTAACCTACTAATTGGGTACTCTACACAGTCATCTAAGGCTGCTTATGAGGTATTACAAATTGAATGTTCTACGACCATTGATAATGAGGTTACATATGAACTGAAAACTGGTGATATGGATAAAATAGTACCAGCGGCCAGTCAATATGTAAACGCACTTTGTTCCAGATTGACAGAAAACTTTGATGTTAATACACTGTTAGACAAAGTGCATGGAGGTTAGTTATTATAAAAAATAGGTTTAAATGATGATAGAATTTCATATGTTATCACGTTTTTGTATATATGGTACCTTGGCAAAATAAAAGGAGAAAACAGTACACTCTCTTTATTATACTGCCACTTGGTTTTTGATAAATCTATTCAATGTAAATAGATAATTCCTAAATTATATTATTTTACAGATTTAGAATGCTGCATGAAAAAGCAAAGACCTATAAAAGTTCAGTGTGGTGTTTCAAAAAGATCTTTGTATGATCCCGTTAAAGGTAAAATTTATTTATTAGACCTTGTGTAATTTGGATGATAAATTTGTCTTTTGACAACTATGACCTATTCCTATTTTCATCCTGTAAGAATATAATAAATATATATACAGTTACATATGTATGTTAGCGACTACTTCCATTTCCTCGACCTGCCACCCTGGCCACTCCACAAATACCAAATAGTTATACATCCGGTTCCTTTATTAGTAAAATAAATAGGACGTAACTGTTTCCGTTTCCACGTCATTTTAATTTATTATAATTTTTCGATTCGATTCAGCCGTTCAGCGTCCACTGCTGGACATAGGCCTCCCCATAGACTTCAGTACGACCGCTGCCGTGAGGTTTCCCCGTCCTTGACCAGGTCTGGTCCACCTGGTAGGAGGTCGTCCAGGTTTTCGACGTCCGGTACGTGGTCTCCACTCCAGAACCTTTTTGCCCCAACGGCCGTCAGTTCTTCGAGCGATGGCCCAGCCCACTGCCACTTCAGCTTGCCATTGGGGGTCAGTGACTTTAGTTTTTCTACGGATCTCCTCATTCCTGATTCGATCGCGCAGGGTAACTCCGAGCATAGCCCTTTCCATCGCACGCTGAGCGACGCGTAGTCTGTGCACCATGCTCGCGGTAGGAGACCATGTTTCGGTACCGTACGTCATCACTGGTAACACACACTGCTGGAACACTTTAGTTTTCAGGCACTGAGGTATACGGGATGAAAAGACTTTGTCTAGTTTCCCGAACGCTGCCCAGCCGAGTCGGATTCGACGATTGACCTCTTTCTCGGAGTTGGATCTACCTAATGTATTATTGACCCAGGTAGACGTATTCGTCAACAACTTCGAGTACAGTGCTTCCAATAGAACAGAGGTAGGCACTACTGGGCGTTCGACATTATTTTTGTCTTGTCCATGTTCATACTCAGGCCTACCTGCTTGGAAACACTGTTGAGGTCTTCGAGCATTGTGTTTAGATCCTCCAAAGACTGTGCCATGATCACAATATCGTCGGCAAAACGCAAATGGGTGAGGTACTCGCCATTAATGTTGATGCCCAGTCCTTTCCATTCTAGGAGCTTGAAAGCGTCTTCCAGAGCAGCGGTAAAAAGTTTTGGTGAGACAACATCACCTTGCCGAAACCGCGTGCACTGGGATGGCCTTCGTACACCGATCTTGTACTCGGACTGACATATTGGCGTTCTTATACAAGCACCTCAACACCTCGACGTATCGATAATCGATGCGACACCTCTGTAGAGATTTAAACACGGCCCAGGTCTCGATCGAGTCAAAGGCCTTCTCATAGTCCACAAACGCTAAGCATAATGGCAGGTTATACTCTTCGTTTCTGTATCACCTGACCGTGTGTATGTGGTCCATGGTGTGTAGCCTTTTCGGAAACCGGTTGTTCGGGTGGCTGGAATTCATCGAGCCTACGTTCGAGACGATTCGTGATGACCCTAGAGAACAGCTTGTAGACATGGCTCAGAAGCGAGATCGGTTGTAGTTCTTCAGGAGGGATTTGTCACCTTTTTTGAAGAACAGGACCACTACGCTTTGCTCCATGCCTCCGGCGTTGTGCCTTTGAGCAAGGTGGAGGTAAAAAGCCTCTTAAGCAATTGAGAACTGTACCGCAGCTCTAGTAGTCCGAGGTATTCCGTCCTCACCCGTTTTGTTCTTAGTGTTTTAGGGCCATCCTAATCTGAAGGCTGATGTCCGGGATTTGTTAGTTCGGGTAAGTTTGGCTTGGGTGGTAGACGGGCTTAGCAACCGACGAGTAAGTCTCGTAAAACTTTTCGACCTCTTTCAGGACTTTGGGTGGAGCTAACTACAATACCATCCTCCTTCTTTAGCCGAGTCAGCCGGCTTTGCCCAATAGACGTATCTCTTGCAAAGACCTTCGCGCCTTTGTTACGCCGTACCGTTCCTCAATACTTTAGTATTAGGAGCGGAATACGCCTCAAGATTTCGATATTTGTCTATTGAGCGCCTTAGTTTGGTTTGGCTGAATGATGTTTATCCATTTCAATTTACGCTGAAAGTTTTTCCGGTCTTTCCTTGTGGGACTTAAGTATTTTGAGCCCACCGAGGAAGTTTTTACAAGCCCATGTTAGCTCGTCCACTGACCCGCATTTTCCAGGCACGAGAAACGATTGCGTAATTCGAGTTGAAAGCTCTCGGGAATGACTTGGTACGAGACGGTCTGAGGGTAGACTTCATCAGCCTAGACTTCTCGGCTTTGAAAATCAACGAGGCCCGTACCATGCGATGATACTTCCGGTTTTCACCTTGTGAAACCGAGACGTCGTTGAATATATGTCTCTAGTGGAAGAAAGTCAATCTCATTTTCGTTTCCATGGGGCTCATAGGCATTCTTTGGCGTTTTGGTAGAAGGAATTCATAGTAAAGACCTTCCCTCCAAGAATTCGGCCAGCCTCTGTCCCCTAGGATTTCTGTCCCATAGCCAAAGGTTCCACTTCAACTCATTTCGCCTCTCTTCCCTAACTTTGCGTTGAAGTCCCCCATCACAAGTAATTTTTCGAAGAAATGGCTCTACTTATTCCTCATACTAACTTCTACTTCGTTCTGAGTCTCGAGGTCGGTATACCTGTATGACCTTCAGCGAATATTTTGAGATACTAGTATAAGGTACGCCACCCTGTTCGACACACTTTCGACCACCTCTATGTTGTTGACAAGGGATCTGTGGACTATGAACCCGACACCGCCTTGGGACTGCTGTCCTCCCTCTCGGTAGAAGAACATTTGCCGGACTCCAAGGTCATGTTCGCCTCTCGTCGGACCTCCGATAACCCTATTATGTCCCAGCAACCTATTCAGTTCTTCTTCCAGCTCGACAATCTTTTCGTCCATCCTCAAAGTGCGTCATTGTATGTTATAGGGCCAATGGTGTCGGAAAAGGTAGCCGGATCTCTGCGTTTTTGACCCCTGCCCGCGTTACATGGTGTAGAGGACTTAGGGGCTGCCGGGGACTGGGGGCCTGGTGTGGTCATACTGTCCATTTTTGGGGGGTATATGCCAATACTCGGTTGGAGACGGGTTACGAGCGAGTTGATGTTAAACCGCGAATGAACGCTCGCCGTGGTTTTTTATCCCTTAGTCGCTCTTACGACACCCACGGGAGGATATGGGGGTACTATTCTTAATCGGCACAAGGACACTTAGAATTTAGCTAAATATAATTATTTAAGTAATTAACCTTAGTTAAAAAATTGAGATTATATCTTGATTTATTTAAAACAGTGCAGATGTATTTTAATTCTAATTGTTTTGATATTATAAATAAACAACCGCTTAGTTTCCGGTTAAATTATTAGGATACGTGGGCTGTATTTGATAAGGAGTCACTCTGCTGGATTATACATGTAAAGTGTCTATTGTGTGTTATTTCGCTAACCTAACCGACGTCTTAACACATATTATTGTCTAATAGGACAAATGATATATATATATCTTCTTTTTTTTACTTTATTATTGTTCTTATACATGTTGGCATTATCTACATTAAAAATGTGTTTAGATTAGACAATGCTGTTGATTTCAGTTCAGGTCCAGCCCGTGTAATTGAATCTTTGCAATCTGAATATAATATTTTTTAAAGTGTAATGGTGCCCGACATTTAGATTGATTTGAAAATAACCCTTAATAAAATGTAATTTTTCTTTTTCCAGATTCAGAAGATACAATAGTCCTGTTAAGTAAAATAAGAGTGGCTTGTGAAAAATTTCATAATCAATGTGATGTGTTTTAATGAGGAAATATGATATTTACATCTAGTGTTGGTTCCCAGAAAATATATTTCAGCAAATAACAGGGCAATCCATTTTATTCTACTGTGATATTAAAAATGTATATATATTTATTTTAAAATTAAAACATCAAACAAAAAGCATTGTTGAAAACATAACTGTTTTATTTTTATATACACTTCAATCTAACAGTCAGTTATAGCTAACTTAAAATTAAATTTCGTTTCTCATATTATTTTCTTACACTGAAAAATTCAACTGATATAAAAATATTCCTTTTAAGTAATTTCTTGAATCATAATCATGTAGTACTTGCTTTATTGGAGAGCTTGTTCGGTGCATGACATGGAAAAATGCTACATAAATAGCATTTTCTTTAACTTAAGCAACCTTCGATCGTCAAAATAACCTTATAAAGTTAATTTCTCCTTAAATTTTGCGGTTGGAAATGATTCACTATATTAATCCACCAGGTGTCTTCAACTCCTTTTGTGAATTCTCTGATAAATCTATAGTTGAGGATAAATATCTTATCTTCAAATTCAGGTTGGCCTCTGAAAGGATATCAGAAGTTAAAATTTATTATGTTTAGATGCAGAAATTGAATGTTTACAATATGAAAACCAAAAAATTTAGCATTTTGTTGGCTTAATGCAATATTTTGCTAATTATCAATTATTGTGGGTTTCAATCTACAGGTTCCACCATGTTTTAAATCAATTTATAATGTTTCTGGAACATATTGATTTCACTGAAATGTGTATTTTAAATGGACAGGGTAACTAAATTCTATTTGATATAACAAAAATGTCCATCAATCAGTTTAATTGTGCTTTTTTCAGTCAGTGGTGTAGTATGGCTGAAATATTTCACCTTCCACCAAGTGAGACACTAAACATAAAAACTTTCAATATTACAAATTAAAATTGAACAAACCCTAAAGTAACTGGTGGTAGATCACCACTTTCTTTCATATGTTTAAGACCTCTGAGCACATGGTAGCACATTGTAATCTCTACCCATCTTTTGTCAGCATCATCAAACATTACGCCTACCTAAAAAGCATTTAAGATTTAATAAAAATGATACCAGTAGGACACAAACTTACAGTAGACTTAAAGATTAAGTTACACTGTATTTAATTGGATAAGAAAAAGCTACTAATCAAATAATCTTAGTTATTTCGGAACAACAAAATGATGCATATGGTTGATATGATAAAAATGGAGCCAGCAACGGCATATTAAACTTGGATGGAACATTTAGAAGTAAATATTAAAATACTTGCCTGGTAAGGAAATGCATAAAATATATCTTCTTTATCTATGCTTAGTAACTGACGCTGTGATATTGAGAGTTGTGTGACAGCTGTCTTTAGGGTGGATATTGCATCCTTTTCAACTAGACCTTCTAAAGATTTAAAGTCACTGTTATGTAGACTTTCTGACACCACCTGAAAGTTTTTACATAAAATATGTTACCAAAAATGATTAGGTTTAACTAACGTTATTAGTATAGTTTATTGATTATAAATGATAACTTTTATTATTGTGTTACAATCATAAAATATAAGAATATAAATAAAGTAAAAATATATTAAAACACCTGAACAGCATGTTTTGAAGCTTCAATAAACTCCGAAAGACTAAATTCTTGTTCAAAATATGGTTGTATAATAAATGTAGAAAACATCCAATTTTTTACGAATTTTACGAACGAGGGCCATACAATTGGAGGAAAATCCATAAGTTGAGGTAGCCTTCGTGTTTCTACTTTGTTATCACAATAATTTCGTTGTACAATCATACATTTTGATGTTACGGGCACTTGTAAATATTTATATGAAGTTCTATAACATAACCTATACGTCTGTTGAGTTACGTTCTTTAATACCACATTCATATTTATAACTCTGTTCAACTATTGATAGATAATTATGCAAATTAATTATGTCTTTTTGAATTGAAACATTTGATATTAGCTTAGCTCTTTATTTAAACAATAAACAGTTCAAGAGAAAATTATTCAACTTATCAAACCTTGTGACGTTTGACAATTGACCAAATTAAATACTGAATAACAAATTAAAATAAAATATTTTAACATTTTTTGGTTTCTTACTACCTAATGCAGACATTAAAAGTAGTGAATTAGTTTTAATATATACTTGCCTTGGACTTTGATTTTAATTTTAATTACTCTAACGTTATCGTTTGAAGACTATTTGATATCAAGCAGTGACAGTTGTCTTTTACAGTTTAAACGATGTCAAAGTCAATGAAAGTGCTTTTTCAAAATATGTTTAACTCTTGGCGTTAGCCTTTCATAATAATTTATACTTTAAACTTTTCAATCTTTACTGTAAGGGAGTACCTCATTAAAATACTACTACAATGGACGACCAAGCATGTCCACGTTGTAAAACAACAAAATATAGAAATCCCTCGTTAAAACTTATGGTCAATGTTTGTGGTCATGCCTTGTGTGAAAGTTGTGTTGATTTACTATTTTTGAAAGGTATTGCTTTAAATCAAAGTTTATTATTACTATAAATACTTCAATTACGAATTTTGTATTTGTTCTATTAGGATAGATACATAGGAATACACGTGCTATTAAACTATTTAATTACTATGCCGGCTTATTTCCCAAATACATTTTAAGTACTAAATTTTTTATAGGATCGGGATCATGCCCTGAATGTAATGTACCGCTTCGTCGAAGTAATTTTCGAGTACAATTATTCGAAGACTCCATGGTAGAAAAAGAAATTGATATACGCAAACGGATTCTAAAGGATTTTAACAAAAAAGAGGAAGACTTTACAACGCTAAGAGAGTATAATGATTATTTAGAAGACATAGAATCAATAATATATAATCTAGTAAATAATATTGATATAATTAATACTAATAAGAGAATAGACCAATATAAGAAAGACAACAAAGAGCTAATTTTGAAGAATAAAGCAAAAATTGGTAAGAGATTCTTAGCTTTGAGAATTTGATGAGTATTGCAGAGCATATATAAGTAAAAAATATATTTTATACATATGTGACACTCTTCAATACCTTAACACTTCAATGTTAATATGTAAATATATTTAAAACTGGATTGTCAAAGTTGGCTTCTGAAAGATTCCAAACTACATTATAATAATTCAAAAGTAATACCACTTTAACATATTTTGCACTGTTCCTTTTCAAGGGTTTGACTTTGATTTCAGGGCGTGAAGAATTAGAGTTAGAAGAAATTTTAGAAATTGAAAAACAAATGGAAGACATTCGAAGGGCAGAAGTATTAAGGGTGGAACAGGAAACTAAAAAACAAAAGATAAGAGAAAAGGAGGCGTTGATTGATGAGTTAATGTTTGCCGAGGGTGATGCAAAAGAAATACTTAACACATTCTCACAGAACTTAGCTAGTAGGCAAGAGGAAATAGTCCCTATTTTACCTAAAGTAACTATAATATATATTTCTTCATATATATTAATATGTAGTTATAAAACATGTTTGACACATAATAACTATTACAGAATTTTATATGTCAACATAGGACAGACTCAAACATATCTTTATTTTTAGGTAACCCAATTCTCAAGTGGTGTTAAATTTTCAAGAGGATCCGGCCAGCAAGGACTACCTATAATAGAGGAAGGACCGTTGTACAAATATGAACCTCTTGCTATCCCAGACCGGTGTGGTCCCGATCCACCTTCTCTTCAAGATATAGTGAATAATGGGTATCTGAAACATGTACGGTAAGAATCTAATAAAATTTTTAAATTACTGATTTGCTACATACTAATAAATTATAATTATTTTTAAATTAAATAATTAAACCCGTTTATATTATATTAAATGCAATAGACTACAAACGTTAACAAACTAAACTCTATATCAAATTAATTTTTAAAAGAGGCAAACAAATGATAAAAGATTAAATTAATTAAGAAATACACTTTCTAATACTATTTTACTACCCAGTTAAATTCGGAGTTAACATTTCACTATTTTAACTAAACAGTTAAAATATAGTGGTAGCAAGTAAATTAAGTTTAATAAGACGACAGTCATGCATTTTTTGGCAACGCCTAAACACTTAATGTTATTTATATTGTCCTCAAATTTATTGAAACAGATTTAGAGTATTGATATCTAGAAGTTCTTTGGATAACACGATATAATAGCATTACTGTGTAATATTAACATTACAATAAATTAATGTTACAGGGCAGAGACAGAAACAGAGAAGACCGGAGGTTATTCTTCCACACTGCCTTGTTTACGTGCTTTACAAGACGCGTTAACGGGTTTGTATCACTCAAGTTGACAGCCATGTGATACTATTGTACTATAATGTGTCACTTTTTTATCGTACGGAAGCAACAGAGCGCTCTGGTATTGTCGTACTTAAGTCTAAATTATCGTGTAGTACGATAATCGTGTACCGCAACATTGTACGATATTTCCGATCAGCAGACAAGTAACAGTTATGAACTATGGATGTGTCATTATAGTATGGCGTATAGACTAATGTCAATTGCTAAGCAGAGAAATATGTACAATCTGTGAGACCTGAATGCCTGGAACAAATGTTGCAAAGCTGTGATGTTAATGTTGATTTATCAAATAAATGTTTGAATGTGATTTTGACCGACTTTTTTTATTTTAAATAAAATATTTCTTAACCCTCTATATTGTTATAGTTGTTACCAACGACGTCAGTGGCCTCCAGTTCTTGCAAGTTAGTCTCATTAGAAAGATGTCGTTCTAATGACAATACACTTAGAACCGTCGCGAAACAATATTTCTAGATCATTTAAAGAGGAATCATTCTTTTACATACATTTTTAATTATCTTGAACCAAAGATCCAGGATGAATACTTTTCCCCGTTTTTTCAAGGTCGGAGCGTAATGTTTCCCCCATCGATAAATGCTCTGCCAACACCAATAGTTCCTGAGCATAGCGCGCGTCAAACAAAAAAAATGTCAAGTAGGTACCACGCGATATTTAAAAAATAATAATCAGTAAATTAACTCTTGTGCTAGAGAAAAATATTGTGTTAAAAAGGCGGATACGTTATAAATGTTGTATGGTGAAGTGCATGTATGGTGTAAATAATATGTTTAACTTAAAACATATCCTGCTTTCTTAGAAGTAAACCTTCTATACACGTGAGATAATGTTTAGAACTGATAATAGCATAGGCCTTTCCCTTGCCCTTTTTAAGTTATATAAAAATAATTTATTACTTTAAGCGACATTTGTCTACCAGTTTTATTTAAATTATGAAAAAGTCTACCTATGCTTTTGTGTATGTGTAATCAAATTTAAGATATAAACTAATGAGAATTCGTATCAAATATCTATTGGCAATTGATTACCGATCGACAATTTAAGTGTTGCTTATCGACTTTATAAGTAGCTGTATTGACTACTGTTTCCGTTGCAACTGTCAAATTAGGCAATTCGCTAATGACAGCCATAACAGTGACCTAATAGAAGTCTAAGAGTAATCTCTAATAATTTATTGTAAAAAGCACGATTTTTAGTCGTCCGTGAGCGCAGAGTCTAACGATACAACCAAACAAACAGTGCAACGCACGTCGATGCATTATTTGACATACTTTAACCCGTTGCCTTATCGCTGAACAAATATTTGTACACTCGCCCGTTTGTCGGCTCGGATCGGATCAGCGCGACAATGCTTTTGTGGTTCCGAGAAATTGATGGGTAAAATTAAAGGCTTTAGGCGTAGAGAATACTAGGATAGGTACTCACCAACACAAATTACTTATTGACTACTAATGCTATTTGCCTTAGGAGATTCATTTCCAACCCTTACAAAATCCGACGCTGAAAAATCCGATGAGAATCTGAAACGAAACTTTAACTGTAGACTATTTGACAGTATAGGTACCTGGACATTTTAAGAACTTTAAGTGTTGAATAATATTTTCTCTTTTAAGTAAAACACAGTTACGTTAGAAACTAAACGGTTTAAAACGCGAAATATATTAGTCAAACTTATTTGCCACTTATTTTTAACTGTGGCCCGACGTTTCGGATGCTTTGTAGGAACCGTGGGCACGAGAAGGCCCTCTTGTTCTATTATCTCAAAATCCTCTGTTAGACACTGTAAAAGTTCGAAAATATAGATTGAATAATAGTTAAATCTCGGTGCACCAATCGCAAATAAACGAGTATTAAAAGCTATTTTATGCAAGGAACAGCACGGCGAATCTCGCTAGCGTGCAATATCAAGGATAAAGCCAGAGCAAACTATCCGGGATACAATTACCGTGAAACCGTTGTCCCTAGCAAGCCGCGGGCGTCGCGTAATTGGCCCTATGTACACTCGTCCTGTTATCGGCGCGCCTCGGGCGGTCTTACGTGTGGAAAGGGGTTTATATTTTTTTGCGGGCTCGATGCTCCGACCTACTTTTAAATTTGTACGATTAAAAAAAATGTACTGTTTATGGTTTCGGTTAGGAATAATTTGTTCTTTTACTATAATTACTATGTATTTATTATTGAAAATAATATGTTTTCTACAGATAATAATATCTAAACTAAAGTTGGAGTATCATACATGGGGAATATACTTTTAACGAATCTGTATTTATACCTTTATCTGTAGTAAATGGCTACTCCAATGTCAAGAAGTACAGATTCAGTAAATATGTAGTAAAACCTTTGTAACTAGTTTTCTAATGTAACGAGTTCAATGACGGTAGACGCATAAATATTGCCCTCATGCTGGTTGCTGCTGTTAAAAGCAAAAACTTCTATTATTCATTGTTTTAGTATGTACATTAAAGTGTTTGATATATTAGTTAGGAGTGCCAGAGCTAACATCATTTAACATTGATTAAAAATATATTTAATGGTTTAAAACGAGAAATATACTAGTAAAATAAATTTTAGCTGAAGACATGGGGGGACTAGTACTAGAAGTTTTATTTAGCGGTGTTCTACTCCGGTAAGCAACAATCAGTAGTACTTAATGATAGATAAATTACATAATATCAATCGTTTACCTTTATTATTATACGTTGATATATTCATGCAATGAAAAAATATTTGAAGACTAAGTTTCCATTTCCATGCAAAGATGCGACTTGCAAATCCGCCCGCCCAACTAATATTGACTTCTTATTAGCGCACTAGCCGATCAACCAGAAAAGCAAATACACTTATCGTTTTGCATCGTAGCAGAAGTATTACAACGACTCTGCATTCATATTAATTTAGTATTGATTGGGAACAATTTTGTTATACTCACTTATCAATAAGTATTAATTAAAATAAGAATGTGTCGCCAAGTTCATCGATTGGCTTTTCAGGTAACGATTGGCACCAACCTAGTATTGCATAATCGATTAACAAAACAAACAAGTTTGAGATCTTTTAAAAGTTTACAACGTCTTAGGAAAGAAGGGACTAGATTCAATAATCAATGATGAAATAAAGAAACATCGTAGCATAACGTCACTTGGGCCAGCGCGAAAAACAAATAAAAGAGTCACATTAATTAAGCAATAGGTCAAAAGATAAAATATGGTAATAATTATTTATGAAAATATGTTATTATTGATATGCCTTGTGGGTATTATAACGATGTAATTTGAGCCCGATAAACAAGTACATTCTCTACTGACAGTATGCCCCGTTGCCATAATTTCAACTCCGTCTCATATTAACCATCAAATTAGTTTTGTGCAAGTTCTCCATTACATCTATTGTCTGAAATGGTCCCTTTGTTCTACGCCAGTGGTTAAACGAAACTCGATGCAAAATGGCGTCTGGAACGTCAAATAAACCAATATGGCCGCTTACGGTTATTGTTTGAGATTGTTTGATGTGTGCGTGGATTTTGGTAATTGCTCGTCGGTTCTTGAAAAAAACTTATTGATATATATCACAATTACTATGTCTTAAAGTACCTACCTATTTACTCCGTAATAATATTTTCCCCTTTGTTAATTGTATAATTCACGTATCTTTGTTAATCGCGAGGGGTCTTCGATACGATCTCTAATAAATAGTTATATCGTGTAATGCTGAAGACATCTAAAACGTTTATTCATTATAACTATAGATGAACTAATTGTATTATACAATTTATACAACTAGTAGGTACTCACTTCCGTCGGGTAGGTACTAAAAAAGCAAACATCGCGTTTGCGAGATTTACTTTGTTTAGAGAATATTATAAGGGTTTTTAAATATCGAACCTGGTAGCCGATAAATGTCAAAAAAGCGCGGGAAGACGTAGCGCCATATTTCGAGTTTTATGTATTTTAAATTGATCTCTAACTTTCACGAGTTCCCGTGGCCGAATAAAAACATTGCTTTGGGTAAACGTGCACAGTTTACATTGAAATCTCTTCGTGCACTTATCGATACTTTACGATTATCGATATCGATAATAATACGTAAGTGGTATCAGTAAGAAGAGTTAAGTAAAAGTTAGTACTGTATTTAAAATCGAGTTTTAAATAAATATGTTAAGTGAAATCAGCTTGATAATGCTGAAATACTATACGGAGATTATTTCTCGAAAATATTGTTAAGAGACGATAATACAAACTTATGAGCGCTCCATGTATCCCTAGGTTTCCTTTCGATTGAGGTTTTAACATCTGTGTTATGATTACATTAATAGAATTTAATAGAAAAAAAAAACGAGTTACGTTTCCAAACTTCAAGTTTTAAAATATATTGTGAAGTCGATCTTTGCTAGATTCTATGTAGCTTAAATTGTTGTATACAAATACTAAACCAACAAATATACAAATAGTATATTTTTTCAAGAATTTACACTTGTTGTCGACATTTTTCTAATCAATATTTAATTATTCTGAGACATGTTGGACTTCGTCTGGAAATCTGGATATGAAATGGGTGGAAGGAATATCGTAACTCCGTCTGGTCATGGACAACCATCAACAGATGAAAAGCCGTGAAGCTTGATCGCATCTCAGTATGTAGATTTCTGAATATCAGCTATATTCAGAAATCTACAGACTGAAATAGATCGACAACGCATCCTATAAAGATGTTATGTAGCTGGGGTATTTCATCTACCATCAAAGAACCCTATGCTCGTCAGTCTTCCTTTATCATAAAAAGATAAGTATACACTATTACTAAGTAAGTAGTAATGTTTTACTATTTTATCGATAATATTAAAACTCCCAACACTATCATCTATTTATTTATCACAATACTGGTTTGTATCAGCGTTCAATCATCGCGGTGTTTTCAAGTCACTCAGCGCTAAAAACCAGAACCATACATCTTTATAAAACTCAGTGTAAAGTCA